GCGTCAAGGACCATCGCGCCGAAAATATCAAGCAAACAGCCTGGCGCGCTGGCGCCTTCCTCTCGCCCTACACTGAAACTGCACTGCAGGAGGGGCCGGCGGGGCAGGCACCTCCTTTCATTTGCCACCTCTTGCAGGTCGGGTGCGAACCCCCGCTCTGTCTCTCTCGCCCCTTTCCGGGACGGTTTCACGTGGGCGAAAAAGACAGAGCGACGAAAGCACAGTAGTAGTTCGGCCTCAGCCTCCCTCCAGGCCAGGCCGGGCCAGGCCCTGGCCAGGTCAGCCACCCCCGCGAAACGGGGTCGCCGCGACGACGCCAGCCTCTCCGCCCCGCCGCCCCGCCCCGCCCGCCGGCCCGGATCAAAATATTTAACGCTGCAAGCGAAAGCAGGAGCGAGGCGGGCACGCCGACCGACGGCACGGCAGGTGCAGTGCAAGCAATCGTTCGGAGTGCCGGCGGCGGGGGAGGCGCACTGCCGCGCACCGCCGCGCACCGCCACGGCTCTGAAGCCTCGCTGTAGCGCCGACTAAAGCGCCTGTACCTACGGCCGGAAACAACCAGAGGAGAAGAAGAAGGAGGAATAAAATGAGCAACATAGCAGCAGCCCTTCTTGCAACCCCAGCGCCCCGCCCTGCAGCCAACCCGCAGCCCGCCCGCAGCCAGCCAAGCCCTTCCACTTTATTGAGTTAATTTGGACGCGGCATTAGCGCCGCTTCTTCCCGCGAGGCGAAGGAGGGCGCGAGAGAGACGCAGAGAGGAAGAGGAAGACGGACGGACGATACTTCCAAGTAAATCATGCGACATCGAGCTGCGGCGCTGCGCTCGAAATCCGCCTCCTTCCTTCGATGAGGCCGGGCCGTTTTTAATGAGACGAGCGGCGAGTTGATCCCGATTCCGAACTTCGGTCGCCCTGTCTCCGTCGCACTCGCGGGGCGCGGCGCGCGAGGGGTTGCGAGAGGAGACCTTTTGCCTTTGGCATCGATGGGATTAATGAGGGCAAACAGGATGAACGCGCGACGCAGCATTACCGCCGGATGAACGGGCAGCGCCGGCAGCGCGGCGACGCGACTCGGAGGCAAGCAGCCGCAAGCAGAGCTCCAGCACGGCGGATGGCTGACGCTCCACGCTCCACGCTCGAGCAGACCAAGCAGACGAGGCAGACGAACACGCCGGGCGGATGAGCACTGGATGAGCATGAGCGAGCCGCCGCCACTACGCCCCAGGCAGTCATCAACGAGCCTGCCTGCCTTGCCTGCCTGAGGTGTGCATGCAACCCGCGGAGCGCGCAAACTACCTGCCGGTGTGTGGCACACTGTGTGCTACGCTGGGGCCGGAGGCCGAGCCGGAGGCTGCACTGGTAAAACCAAAGCGCAAGCACTAACCTCCTTTTTAAAGAGTAATTATTGAAATGGAGGCTCAGACCCTCAGACTCTTCAAAAGGGGATTTTTTATACATGCTGTAGTGTTTTTTTTGCCAGTGTGAGGGGCGCAGAGAAGTTGTGGAGACTCTGGATTTGCGACAGGTCTTACAATCTGGACGTATTTTATCGTGATGTTTTTTTCCTCCTTCATTTTCCAGCTCAATTTTCCGGACCGGCGTCGCTGGGTTTAATTTTTGTTGGTCGGAAAATATGAGAAAATAATAAAAAGGCGAAAATAATTGATTTAAAAAGGTTGCTGCTGCGAGGAGAGAGGTGAGCTTCGCCGCTCCGCTACACAGCGCCGCGCGCCCCGCTGCTGATACGCCGGGTGGCGGGGCGGCGGGGCCCCGCGGGGGATTAAACCCTCACACACACACACCAACAAACATGCACGCCCGGCCGGGGCACGTACGGGTTTTCATTATTCAAAAACGATAGAAAAACAAAGCGCGGAACGGGGAGCGGCGAAAAGTGTTCGAACCGGCATGCTGCGTGCGTGGTGGCCGCGGCTAGTCCTGGCGGTGTGGAAGAGGAAAACCAACTCGACCGCATCTGAGGTTGCGGAGAGGCCGCGCGAGGTCGGAGTGCCTTGCTGACTCGAACCGCTAAAGGTCTGCATAGGCCTAACAGCGTTGATGATGATGATGATGATGATGTCCTTGCTGCGTGGAGTCACCGGCTTGAAGTGGTTGAGGCCTCCGCCGCGGCAGATCGCTCAAAGCACCGCTCTTTTCCTCGTGCCCCCTTTTCTTGCTGCGGGATATCTTTGCCATATAGATGTCAAGCTTCCATTCCCCGTGCGCCTGGGGCGGCCTGGGGCCTGGGGGAAGGGGAGGGGGCGGCAGCCCGCACCCCGCACCCGGGACTCGGGGGTAGGTTGGTTGAGCAACGATGGCAACACACCGAGCACCGCGCCACGCCACGCCGAGCCCCCACATGGAAACAATTGCAGCAACACAGGCCAGCCAGGCACTCTGCCTCGCGGGGGCCATCGGCAAAGTACTCCGGAATCCATTTCTGTCTCGGCTCGCTGGGCCCGCTGGGGCGGCGCGCCTGCCCGCCCTGCCCTTGCCCCGGGCCCCCGCAGCCCCCTCAGGTCTGCAGACGCGTGTCCGCGCGGACCCCGGCGGACCCCCAGCCGGGACGCGAAATTGGAACAAGGGTCGCGTTTCCACCCCCTCCACCTGCAGGCCTCAATTTAGCATAAACACCGCCACCCCGCAGCGGGAGGCAAGAAAAAAAGGGAAAATGGAGAAGGAAACGGAAACGAGCTGGAGACGATCGCGGAGGCGAGAGCGGCGCCTTGCTGGCCGGGCGGCCCCAGCGCCCCCAGCGCCCCCATTCCCCATTAGAGCGCCAACGAGCGCACGTTCGACCCCACTGGGCCCAGTCGATTGTAATAACAAGGTCCGGGGTTCGACACCCGCCCGGAGCCTCCTTTTTTCCAGTGGCGTGGCGTGCTGCGCTGCCGGACAGGGCGACATTTTCATCGGGGAACTCATAACGGCGCTGTGCAGTGCAGGGGGTGGAGGGGGCGCGTGGCGTGGGACGCCTGTAGATGAGAGGGAGAGAGACGGGAGATTGGATGGCACATTGGGGCAAAAAGCGAGTCAGATAACGCGTTCTTTATTCGCGCTGGTCCTCCCAGCGCGCCTCCCTCCCCTGTTGCTCCTTTATTTACCTTCGGTAATTGGCAGAGTCCTCGTGACGCGAGGCTCGACAAACGAGGAGAGCAAGCAAGCGAGGCTTCTTTCTTTCTCTCGCTTCGCTCTCCGTATCGTGGACAGGTGTTTAGCTCGCGGGATGATAGCGCGGCGTGGCGTGCCCGGCCGTGCCGCGGCTCAGGGAACTGGAACGGGTGAAAACAAGAGGCGCGCGGCCTGGAGCTGGCCGACTAGCCGGCCGTGCCCAGCCGTGCCGACCAAGTGCTCGCGTGCCATCTTTCTGTTGTTCCCAGGTCACAGCGTCACATTTTTCTCCACTGCCGACCTCTCGCCTTTTGCAAAATCAACTGGAAAGTCCTGCTCTTCATCGATGCGTGTCATCCCATCAAGTCTCTGTTCGTGATAGGTTCCTTCCGCTTTGCCGTGACAGAATCTTTAAATTGGTACATGGCTCAGTTCGTTTACGAGACACCAGCCTGTTGCCCTCTTGGCGGTGGTTCAACTCCAGCTAGGCGGAGGCGTCCCCGATCTGCAGCGTGATGTCTCATCACGGAGACAGCTGGCTTGTCTCCATGTCTCATCTCGCACCACGTGGAGAAGACGCACACTCTGTGGGGGTTTGAACCAATGCGCTTGACAGCTCTATTTTTAAACTCCGCCGCTCGACTCCGTTTCGCGCTGTCCTGATGATTGTCACCATTCGACAGTCCTGCTCTAGAAACTGAAGAGAGTGCATGGCATGCTTTCCCCCTAGAGCAACCCAACACACTCTTACCAAGAGCTGCTTGGGGAAGGCAACTCTTCCAGGAGCATGCTTGGCACACACTCTTCCAGGAGCATGCTTGCAAGCACGGAGACAGCTGGGTTGAATCTCCATGCTCCTGGGAAGAGTGTGCTGCAAACAGCTCTTGGGAAGAGTGTCTTGAACATGCTCTTGGAAGTGTGCTTTGTGGTTGACTCCTAGGAGGAGCATGCCATGCACTCTCTTCAGTTTCTAGAGTGATAGAGTACAACACGACGTGTGGCCAAGTCCAGATGAATTTATTTCAAAACATTAAGGTGACCTTATAATGACCCCCAAGAATCATTATTTGGTGACTGTCAGGGTCATATTTACTTGACAATAACCTGAAAATGATTAATTGACCTTATGGGGTGGGTACTTAGGGGGTACTCGCGACGTACCCTTACGCGTGCGTTTAGGTCACCAGGTACCGGTTGCGGTTAGCACTGTCTTTGTGTGGTTGACAGGCTGCAAAGGGAATGCCAATGAATAGGGGATGATCTTTGACGTTCAAATTCGGATATGAACAACAAAATGCCCTTCCTGGACAAAAATTCCAAAATAGATAGATGCAGCAGTCGGGGTGATGAAATTTGTCGATTCTAGTAGACACAAAATGGCAAACCGTTGCGGCATCGAAAAAAGTAGTTCTACTCTTTGACGACCATTTTAGCAAGGTCAAGTCACCGATTTAAGGTGTTAAATATGAATATAAAAGTGTCTTAATAATACGGTAACGATTGCGACAATGACTGTGGGAGCTACAATGCCGAAAATGATATCGAAGCGGCAAGAAAAGGTGCCCCTGGCAAAGAGATGACGGTCGCAAGGTTATTGTTTACCTCCCTGTCAAATGGGGTTTAAGGTTATGTCAAAGTTCCAGCGAGCATTCCCCGGCCGTTCGGCACCGCCTTAAGCTCGTTTTAACGGCGCCAGCTGCATTGCTGAGCCCCTTTACGTTGTAGAAATCGGTTCATCTCAAAGATGGACCATTTGATCTGCAGCAGGTGACTCCAGGCACTTCTCCAGTGCTGGAGGCTGCCTGGACAATGGTCTCCAGAGCCACTCCAGTCACTCCTCGGAGGTGACTGTGTGGTTATAAATGGGCGGAAAGGGTTGAGCCGTCTTACCTTGCTGGACGACAGGCGTTGACAGCAGGGGAGCCACGAGGTGCAACAAGCTGACCACGGCCCACACAGGATCCCTCGCGGACACCATGGTGGCACACAATCTCACAAACTCACACCATGTTGGCCATCGTCGCTCGTAGCTGTTTTAGCTGTTTCTGATCCCCCCGTCCCTGCTCTGGGCACAAAGTGCCCGCACGCACTTGCAACGACACTTGCGCACACGCGAGCACATCAGGATACCCAACTTCCCTCTGTCAAAACAAAGGGAAAACAGATGGGACCAAAACAACAACCACTGCGCGCTGCGCGGAGCACAGGATCAATCCATCCTTTCACTTTCTGCTAGTTTCGCATACTGGGGACAAAAACGCAGCGGCACGGGGGAGACACCACCGACGCGAAAGGTTAGCCAACATAACAAACAAAATCTTCAAAGAGTTTTGGCCAACCTTAATCTGGCGCTTCGAGAAGGACAGTCACTGATAGCATTAAATATTCTGAAACTTTCAACATAAAATGGGACATTTCTGGATTCTAATGAGAGTTATCAAATAGAAACGAACAAAGACAGTTTCCAGAACTGTCTCGCCGCCTTCTTCGAGAGTTTGTACAAACGCGCGAAATTTAAACGGCTAAGGTCGAAACTGCGTCAAAAATGCATTTGGAAGGTAGTATCAGTACAAAAAGTCAATAATAAAGTGAAACATTACTCTTTCTTATGCCAAGGCGAAAAACATCATAGAAAGGGGCTCTAACACACTGTTAATTTGGCACTTTCCACGCCTACAAGTGTATTTGCCGCCATTTTGGTAGGGAAGTACACCAAACTAGTCTCGAAACGTGACGATAATTTCCCATAGAATGCTCTTCAGTACACCTACAAAATGAAACAAAGTGATGCGCCTCTCAATCCAAAACCGTTTTGTCGTTTCACCTTAACGCAGTGTATTCTTCGTTGATCTGAAAGGCGTAAGATTTTGTATTATCATGTTGGCAGCCATCGTGTTTTGAAGATTTGTTCCACAACAAGGCAGTGGCCGTCTGCTGCTGTCAAATGTCATTTGTCGCCTGACGAGTGGATGTTCTCTTGGTTATCTTTCGTCGATAGAGGCGACAATAACAAAATGTGGGACTCTCTCCTAACAGCGGGTACGTTTTCTAACCGCATCAACTCCCTCGCCTTCATACGTTTGCTTTTCTGCACTCTTTACGAACTTCTGATAGAAAAATGCAGCCTGCGGCCCGATTCGCGTCCGCTACCGGAGCCCCTCCTATTTTGCCTGTTTGTCACTCTCTTCATGTCGGTTCTTCAAATTCGTATGAAATTCTACCCGTGCACTGTTCTGTTGTTCAGAAACCGCTTAACCGGTTCGCCTTTCAATTCTTTGGGCATATTTCGTTGCCGTATTTGTCTTTATTATTTGTTTGGTTGCTGGTCCTTGGTTATGTATGTCACTGTCACTTGCCAAAGCATAACCGCATCTGTGACTTTCCCCGCTTCCACTGTCGTGTTTCATTATTTTATTGCTATTTTATTTCCATCAGGGTTATCAAAAACCAATTTTAATGATTGATGAACATTTTCGTTTTGGGTTGCAGGTGCTGTTGTCAACAGAGAAGGACTTGGCAGTGAATCAGAAACAATGGCAGAATTGGCAGCGTTACTGAAGACTGACATTCCTGAGGGCAGGAACAATTTGGCTGACAGTCATACAAACCTTGAGCGTGTTGCTGAATATTGTGAAAATAATTACTTCCAGGTTTGTTATGACTCTAAGTATGTTGTGCACTTTACAACATTTATGGCTCTTCGTGTATTACTCTCTTAACTATTGCAGGCTGATGAAAAACGAATGGCTCTAGAAGAAACTAAAAATTACACTACACAATCATTAGCTTCAGTAGCCTACCAAATCAACACTTTGGCTTACAATTTTCTTCAGCTGCTTGATCTGCAGACTGCTCAAATGGGTGAAATGGAAAGTCAGATGAATCACATTGCACAGGTATTTAAATCTTTATTCGGTGTTGATTAGTGTTTATTTTAATGCAATAAATTGTATCACTCTCTGTTCGTTGTTCTTAGACTGTGATGATTCATAAAGAAAAAGTGGCCCGTCGTGAAATTGGAGTTCTTACTGCAAATAAAAGTACCAATCGCACTTACAAAATCATCGCACCTGCCAATCCTGAAAAACCAATCAAATATGTTCGTCGTGCTATTGACTACAATGGTAAGGTTTTTGTGATAAATTTGTTGTCATGTACCCTTTTTATTGAATGTTATCTAAAATTATTTCTTCTTTATTCAGCTTTGGATGATGTTGGTCATGGAGTTCGAACACTGACAGGTGGTATGCGTGGAAAGCAAAGAGGATCAAGTGTAGGCAGTCTCCAGTCTATGGGGGCTGCTCCACCAGCAGTTGGTCCAAATGTTGGACCTGCGCCAACTACTAAACCCCCCACACCACCTCAAGCGGTGCGTGGCATGGGCACACTCAGCAAAGGGTCAAGGGAATACAGAACTCCTCCAGCTGTGGCACCACCTCAAGTATGCCGTGTATTTATAGTTAAATATTTTAAAAGAGTGAGAAGAAAATTGATCTAACCAAAATCCTTTTTTCACAGGTTCCTAGCCATTATGCGCCCAACTATCCTCTGGGCCATCCAGGCCGTCGCGAACGCGGGCCTGGGTACTCTGCCCTTCCAATGCATGCTGGGGCAATGCAGCCAGGGCACTCGCATACACTTCCTCACCAGCATCATGGAGGACATCATGCCATGCATGCCACTAACCATGCACACAACACTGGCACACTTGGTCATCATCATCAGCAAAGGTAAGATATTACTTTCACAATTTGTCCTTTTTAAAAAAAAATTTGTCTGATATTTGAAGCATTGAATTTTCTGCTTTTCAGGAATGAGCAAACACAACAACAAATTCAGCAGCAAATGCAGCAGCACTTGCAACAGCAGCAGCAGCAGCAACAACAACAACAGCAGCAACAAATGCTCCAGCAGCAGCAGCAACAACAACAACAGCCTCAACCGCCACCCCCAATAATGACTCTCCCAGAACCAGCCTTACCTCCGATGAATCTGCCTCAAGTGGGTCTGGTGCACCCTATTCCTCAGACACCGCCTCCGAACACCCCTCCAGCTACATATTCTTCGGACCACCACATGAGCATGCCACGTAAGTCCCCATCCCATTCCAAATTAAATTTGTGGTTTACTAATACAAAGATGTCAAGCTTTTGTACAAACAAGCATTTACAGTGGTTTGAATATTCTTCTGCCTGTAACAATTCTGTACATTTAATATGGAGCTTGTTATATTGTTTGTGTCTAAAAGCACCTGGGCTCTTTTGTTTAATTTATTATTATCAAAGAAACTCAAATTGGTACTGCCTTGTTTTATAGCAGCATACAGCAGGCTCACAGGTTCATGTGCAGCTCCTTATATTTTATTTTCCTTGCATCCACCACGTCAAATCATTACTTTTCCCCTCCTCTTGCATGATTGGTGAAATGGTTGGAAAGAAAACCGTGGTCATCATCACTCACTTATTTGTCTTTTCTTTTTTCTTTTTGTTGTATCTATCATTGGACTTTTAGGACAACCCTTGAAAAGTGCTCTGAAAAATCCTGGGGGAGGTAAGATGATGTTTTGTAGTCAATCTAGTCAGTTGAATTTGTTTCCTTCCATGTTGGATTATTGTTAATTACCTCCTTTACTCATTCATTCCCTTTAATTCTTGTGGCCTTCCCGCTGTCATCAGGACAACCATTAAAAAGTGCATTGAAAAACTCGGGAGGTAAGACATTTGTCGATTTGAGGTTTCCTTTTTTTTTAGGATAGCATGGTCCATGAGTATTGGATGTGCGTTCACTAATTGGTGTTTGTAGATAACTTTTAATTAGATATTTTTCTAAACAGGTTTGTTGTTTGTAGTGCCTTATTGTTCTCCTTTGTTGTTTCTGCTCACTGTGTTTCTTATATATTAAAACCATATTTTTTTATGCTTGGCAGTTTAGTTTAGTGACTGACAAATTTATTTGTTAACAGTATGTACATTTTCTGCTATGTAGATGTATTTTTTTCTTGAGGCCAAATTTTTTTATGTCATTATTTTTTACTTTATTTCATTTTTGTTTCTTCTGCTTGCATCAATCAACAGGAGCTCCTGGTCATCTGCTTTCCATATTCTGCATGATTTTTGCATTCATTCAGCCTTTGCTATAGTTGCACTTGTGAATAGTTATTTAAGTATTGAATAAGTAATTTTTAATACAGAGTGTGTGGAATACAGAGTAATCAAAGATATTCCTGTCTAATAATTGTCCTGCTTCGTGCAATAATTTAAATTTACCTTATTTTGCTTTTTGTCTCATGTTTTTGTTGTAGTGCTGAGGTTTTTCTAGTTATAGCAGCTTAGATATGAACCTAACATTTAAGATACATTCTCAATCCAAAGATTCGTGACATAAATCTTCTTTGTAAACCGATGATCAAATTATGTCTTCTGTATTCATTTAATATCATTCTAATTTTGTGCTGTATGTTGTCAACAGCTCCACCATCTCCTCTCGTGCTGAACAACTCACTAAGCTCTGCTATGGCCGCGGTTCCCAGTGGTATGCTGGGTCATCACACTTTGCCTCACCAGCACCATGGTCACCACAACTCTCACCATGGGGGCCATTCGCAACATTACCGCTTGGGCAGTCAAACCCCTCCACCACCCCCTCAGCCTGAAGAGGCCGAGCACGCCCGATTCGGGCAGCCAAGGAGCATGATTGTACCAGAACAGATGGACTTGCCTGGATGGGTTCCAAAGAATTACATTGAAAAAGGTACGTTGTGTTTGAATGATGATCTTTTTTCCTTGTGTAAGGTCCCGCTTTCTGTAACTATCTGTTACTTTGTCTGTATTTCAGTTGTTGCCATTTATGACTACTATGCCGATAAGGATGATGAACTAAGTTTCCAAGAGAGTGCTGTCATCTATGTACTCAAGAAGAATGACGATGGCTGGTGGGAAGGTGTCATGGACGGTATTACTGGACTCTTTCCTGGAAACTATGTGGAGCCTTGTGTCTGAATCTTCTCAGGAAAGAATCCATTCCATTCATTATGTGTGCTTTAGTCAAATTCCAAAAAAAGGATCACATGTTCTGTTTTGTTAACAATTACGTATTTATTATTTATGCTGTCGTACACTTTTCATTTGTTGTATTTTCCAAAGCTGCGGCAAATAAGTGTGCCATGAACCTATTGACTATTGTCAGGCTAATTAATTTTTATTGAAGTTTTGGTTGTGGTACAGCAGTGTGCCACAATCTGTGTACTGTACCATTAAATCCATGATCAATGTATACATTCTCCCCAGACATACCTAGTAATTATAATACTTTTTATATCAATTCTTTCAATGTAGTGTCCTTGGGATACATGCCTTGTTTCCTTTTATACTTGTCTTTGTGATTCATCACAAATTTCATCTTTTTCTCAATTGGTGTTTATTGTTAGATAAATATTGTTAATCAATTTATGTTGGGTGTGCCTTGAGTGAATACCAAGCTACCACTACTGCCATGTAGCAGGTGCTCATTTTGGTACATAATGTGGAACTTGCTTGTCGAGTATTCTCTTGTTATTACACTTTAATTTTTTGTCTCAACGTATACTTAATGAATTTTACAAGGATTGATTGTCCGAATGTAATCATCATTTCTTACCTAGACCAAGTTCAATTTTCATCAAATCAGCAAGTTGTTTTTACAACTCATTGTGAACGAGTTTCTTTGTTATTTGTGTAAATATATGAGTACATGATTATTGTTGGCATTGTTTGTTTCTTTTGTGCTTTTTTTGCTGGAATTTTATATGATTAGGGGAATATCGCTGCCATGAAGTATTAATTTTTTTCACTTCATGTCTAAATAGGTTATATTAAACAATTCTAGGTCTTCCAGTTCGTTTCCATTTTTTGTCGTACATTGATGCTCCTTCTCCCGTCCATTCAGTAATAAATGATACAGACCAGATTTGTGTGTACTCTCTTTATTCTCATATTGTGCGCTGTTTACAACTAATCTTATATTATAATTGAAACCTATTTATTATTACAAAAAGGGAAGAAATAGTTCATTGTATAATTTGTAGCCATCTGCTCACAATATGGAAGAAACTGGTAGGAAATTGTAAATATTATTGTGCTCAAATCAAAAACTAATCTAAATTCTAGTGACAAATGAACACATATGATTACTAATCTTCAAAGGACTGTAAATTGGCTAAAACTAGCATTTAGTTACCCCAAGAAATCACAATGCTGTTTGGTGGAGCAAATGTATTGAAGTAATAAAATGAGCAATTATCACAATCCACTTGCTAGCGTTATTTTTTCCTCCACAACAACCTAAGGAAACCCTGCCATCGGCAGTTTTTTGGTAAAATACATTAAAATCTCTTCTTAACAGCTCTAAACTTGCATCAGCAAAGGAATGAACACGAAATTGAAAAAAAAGGGGGAACTTCAGTCAGATGTATTGCTGACCACCCCTGTCAAACATGGTTCCAAACGCATCTTTGACAAAAAAAAGACACATTAAAGCTTTGAAAACTGTGACGCAGATAGGAAAGAACAGTAAAGAGAAGAATTACAACAAAAATAAAAAATTCAAGTAGACTCGCTAAGATAGCACATCGTCATAAAATAGTTCTCCTCGATAGGCAGTAGTATTGTTTTTTTTTTTTTTTTTTAAATAAATCAACCTGACAGCAGCTAACTAACTCCATGAGAACGAATCTCGCTGGCCGCGCAGTGCGTAGCCGGAAACAGCGTATCAAAATCGGACTACATCTGACGCGGTGGGGGCTGGGGGCAGTGCCCCGCGGCCGCGAGGGCACAGGCCGCACACGCGTCACGCGTCGCATCAGGAAGCGCTGTGCATTGGTCCCATAAGTGCACCGACAAGCAATTTCGCGTGGCGGGGCGGGGCGTGGCGGAGCGGGTGTAGCGAGGCATGGCAGAGCGGGCGGTGGTGGCAAGGTGGACCTGGACTGGAAAAAAAGGCAACATCCTCAGTGGACAAAAATACAAAAATCTATTACATCCAACGGGACCACAAAAACCGAAAACATATTGAAAAATGGGAGAAAAATAGTCAAAATTTTTGAAAAAGAAAACTGGTTTCGTTTTCAAGCCACGCGTTTTTTTTTTTTTTTTTTTTTTTTTATCGGGGAAGTTCAGAAAACGTAGCGCACCTAGAGTCTAGAGTCGCTTTCATCTCTAAACGCATCCGGCGCAGTCACTATGCATGCAAGAGAAAGATTGGAAAAGGAAACCAAACAACACATTTTTTTAATCGTCCAATCCGTACACCTTTACCTTTTGCCGGTGACTTGCATCCAGGTTGTTTTAGGAATGCACTTGATCACAACTCTGAGTGTCTCCACCGCGAGCGCACCTGCCACCAGAAGACACACTCGAATGACCCATCGAACCCACGTAATTTTCACAGAATCGCTACAAACATCTTGTGAGAACCTACCGCCAGTCCGGCTCGCTGTCCCCGGACCCGGACGCCCCGGACTGGGTTCCGGGTGCCGCCTCGCCGCGCCTCAGCAAGGGGTGGACTGCGGCAGCGGCGCGGCGCGGTAGATGCCAGTGTAGCCGCACAGGCGCGCTCGCAGGGCGGGGATCAGTACGGCCGCGGCCGACAGGTCCTCCAGGAAGTTGGCGCACTCCACCATGAGCAGGTACAGCTTGTCGCCCTGCGAGATGGACTTGTGCAGCGTGATGCGCCGCAGCCCCACGGACCGCGGCAGGTACCTGTAAAGCATGCGCGCTCCTGAGGAGCGCCAACAGACCCCAAGTCAAAGTACCTTGTCGACGTCGCTGACAATAACAAGCCCGGGATAATGTTTTTACCCGTCCAGTAGAGCCAGTTCTTCTCGAAGCGGCGGCCGTCATCTCCCTCGAAGACCTTGTAGAAGGACACGATGTAGCCCGTGGAGGCCGAGGGCGGGCGCCGGGGGGCCGTGGACGACGGGTAGCCCGGGTCGAAGGGCGGGCGCGCGATGGTGGCCACCTCGTTGAACAGGTCCAGGGTGTGGCTCGCCGTGTAGCGAATGTTGCGCGGGTCGAACTTGCGCAGCGAGGCAGAGCGCAGCGACCGGAAGAAGTCCTTGGGGTCCGTCTGCGCCGAGTTGATGACGTAGTACGAGATGTACGGGAACTCGGCTGCGGCACGGTATGAAAAATCGGGTCAGCGGAGGAGGCTCTCACAATGCAGGACGGTCCCTGTTCACAATGGAGGCGCGGAGCCACGCGGAGCTCAGGTGGCAGGACGAAAAGTGCCTCGATCGCCTTCTCCCCGGCGGCCGGGCGCGGCCTGGCCGGGCGCCATCGACAGAACGCCATCATTCACCGTCGTCTTTGGCGCGGCGGGGCGGGGCGGGGTGGGGCGGGGCGGGGTGGGGCGCGGCGAAGACCGAGTCACACTACGCCGCACAAATCCTGGGCAGCGACAGCGCGGCCCGTCAGGGAGTCGGAGCCAGGGTCGAACAAGGCGGCCACGCCACGGCGCGCGTGCCGGCGCGTGGCACAGCACGGCACGGCGTGGTCGGGCGTCCGCGTCCGGCGTCAAGGCGGAACAAGGCGGGTGTGCGCGCCAAACAGGGGATGCTGCCAGCCGGCCTGCCAGCCAGGCGGACAGCCACGGGGACGTGGACGGGACGGCGGCGAGCCATCACGCTAACCGAACCCGCCGCGAACAGGAACGGCCCGGGCCGGGCTGGGCCACTGGGGGGCCGTAACGTGTGAGCCGAGCTTTACGTAAGTGGACGCGTGGGGGTTTGACAATTACCCGAATACCCAGCCCGAGCGGCGAAGTCCCTCCCCACCGTCGCGTCAGCCACGCCAGGCTCTAAGGCGCCTGCGAGGTAGGCACTGCGAGCGCACCGCTGCACATGGTTGCCTACCCGCCGCTTCGCAGGCTGAAGCCATGGACAGCTCCCCGGTTGACCTTGACCGCCCCCTCCCCGTCGCAGTCGCAGGGTCGCACTCACAGTTCTTCTCCATGTTGGTGAGCAGCATGCCCCGGACGGCCGAGTTGCCCTTGCTGACTTCCTGCACGAGGTCCGCCGCCGCGGCGCCCTGCTGCTTGTGCGGCGAGGCGAGCGGCGACTCCAGCAGCGGCTCCAGCGGCTCCATGGGCGTCATCAAGTGCAGCAGCACGGACAGCAGCGGGTCCGCCACCTCCAGCACCTTGACGCCGCTGCCGCCGCACAGCGACTGCTGGCTCAGCTGCCCCAGCTGGCTGGGCTCCGGCAGCTGCCAAGGACGCCGTCGGCAAAGCCCCATTCAAAAGAAGTCTTTTGTCGCGGAGGAAAGAGAGGAAAGGGGACTTACCGGGACGCCCTCCGGGAGGAAGCGGTCCACGGCGTGCAGTGGAATGATGAAGCAGTCCCTGTCCAGGTTGGCGAGGGACACGGGCTCGGACCGCGACATGGGCATCGAGCTGGTGGCCTGGCCCGCCGCGGGGCCCGCCGCGCCGCCCTTGCCGCCTTTGTTGAAGCTCACCTGGAACACGACCACCTTGGTGAGGTGGTGTGGTGGCGCGGCCCGGCACTGGGCGCCCCGCCGTCTTTCCCAGAGGCGCTTCGACCGGCGAGCCGGCGAGTCACTCGGGCATGAGAAGCGCGTCTAATGGCCTGGGCGCCGGTTCAAATCCCACACCGAAATAACACAATTGACCTAATTTCTCTAATTATGTCCCCGCGACCGCCTCGACGGGCGCGCGGCGCGCGGCGGTCGACGCGCTGCGTGTTGGCACTCACCGCACTCACCTGCCTGCTGGGGGGCGCCGAGGCGGACGCGGACCCGGGCGCCGAGCCCGCCGCCGAGCCCGCCGCCGCCACGTCGAGCGAGTCGAAGCGGCCGCCGATGGTGCTGCCGCACGCGCTGCCGGAGGACTTGCGCGGCCACTTGATGAGCGTGACGGAGGTGCGTCGCGGCGCGGCCGGCGCCGAGTCGGGCGGCTGCTGCAGGCCGGCCGAGGTGGTCTCCTCCTCGACGGCGCCGCCGCAGCTCTGGCACGCGCTGGACGGGTTCAGGAACAGGTGCGTGCGGTAGAAGCCGGCGCGGTCGCCGCCCCTGTCCTCCGGCATGGAGCTGTAGCCGGCGTCGCGCGCGCGCTTGCCGTGGTGCGCCTTGCTGCGCCCCGACCGGCCGCTGCTCTTGCCGAACCCGTAGCCGGCCTCCTTATCTGCGTGGAAATTCTTTCTGAACATGATATTCATGGCGACGGCTGTGCTGTCCTGTCGGGTCCGCCACTGGGAAACACGGGGGGCACGGGGGCACACGGGCACACGGGCGTCAACAACGTCTACGGGTGGCCTACACACGCCACTACACTGGGCTACGATCGGCTACGCTGGGCTACGCTCTATGTACACGCTGCACACGCATGGTCGACACTCACTGCAGGCACTCTCTGCAGGCACTCTCTGCAGGCACCGCAGGCAGCAACATCAAGTACTCACGAGAGGAAGCATTTTTCCTAAACGCGATATTGAAAGACGTGGAGGTTCGGCCCGAGCCCAGCATCTCGACAACACTGGCCGCCCCGGCCGCCACCAGCACCCGCAGCCCCGTGCCGCGCGCGGCACCGCGTCACGCCGGGGTGGGGCGGGGTGGGGCGGGGCGGGGTGGGGGTGTGGCGGGGCGCGGCGACGTCACGTGTCCCCGTGCGGCACGGCGGCACGGCGCCAGCACGGTGGCCGTCGTGGAGGACACGTCCGCGGCGACGTGCGACGTCCAGGGCGGCTGGTGCCGTCTCGCTCCCTCACCATTAGGGGTACGACTTATCGCGGGGTGAGCGAGGGGGACGGCGACACCGCACAAGTAAAAGGGGAGGGGGGAGGGTCCTCGCGCTCTTGAGATGTCGAGTGGTGAGGGGAGGGGAAGGGGGATTCGCACGACCGGGAGGTGGATTGCCAATGGGCATCGAAGGAGGAGGGGGCGTGCGTTTGGGTGCAACGGAAGAGATGAGCTATTATTAGGGAGGGTCAGTGCATCCTGAGGCGGACAGTAATAATCGGCCTCGCCACGCGCGCTTGTATGTGTGTGTAGGTGTGCTTGGGAGTGTTTGCGCGCGGGCGACTGCAAAAATACGAGCGGGGATACGAACCCACGCGCGGTGTGCGCTGCGCTGCCCCGGCTAATTCTTGCCCCCCGGGAGCGACGGCGGAATGGATCTGGCTCCATTTCGAAGTCACCCCTTGCCGCGCTGCCGCGCTGCCCCGCTCCATCGACAATGGCGGAATATCAATAATTCTGCATGTCGCGTCGCGCTGCGCTCGCTGTGCTTCGCCGCTCCGCCGCTCCGCTGCTTCCCTGCTTCCCGGCGGCAGCGCGAGGCCAGGGCGGAGGGCGGAGCGGAGGGCGAGGCGCCCGACCCGGCCTTGAAGCGGTGCCCGCTCTGTGTCTCCGAGTCTGTGGTTTTATATTCCCCGCGAACGCGAGACTTCCGCCGCTGGCCCGGCAGCCCCCAGCCGCCCCCAGCACGACTCCAGGACCGCTTGCGGGCCAACGCCTGTCTGGTCATGAGTAATTGATCAGCCCAGCGGGGCGGGGCGGGGCGGGCGGTGGGTGAATTAGGGATGGGGTGCAGGGATCCTGGAGGGCACCGATTGTGTGGGATGGGGCGGGGGTGAGAGGCGTGGACTCGAGCCAGACCAGGGCTGTAGGGCCGCAGGGCCGGAGAGGCGCCGGAGAGGCCCACCTCACACCTCATGGCCCGGGTGCCCCTGGGACGCTGGAGTGCCGGAGCCTTGGCTGGAGCCCCGCAGCGTCCTTGCGTTGTGCGGCGTGCCTGGCGTGCCTGGCGTGCCTGGCGTGCCTGGCTATGGCGGAGCCCACACCCCCGTCTCCCGGTTTTGTGACCGAGCGGAGGCGGGCCAGAGGGTCAGGGGCACAGCCGGCACAGCACCGAACTGCCCCACTGCACACGTTTGCTGGCTGGCTTAAAAATGCCGTTTAACTGACAAAAAAAGATTTTCGGCTATGTTTAAATCCTCTGTTGTCTGTTTGTTGTGACCCAAGCGGAAGTGACCCGCTCGCCTTTTGTTCTTCTTCTCGCCTCCGCTGAAATAGTCGATACCTCGCCACCGAGGCAGTATGATAGCACCCAATTATTTCTAGGGTTTCAAGACAAAAACTTTGGGGTTAGGGCCTAGTTCATCGTTTTTAATTTCAAGGAAAAATAGGTGCTTTCTTATGGCGGTTTTAGGCTATTTTAGAGGCAGGAAGGTGGCGGGAAGAGGCGGGTTGAGCGCGCTCTGGTGGCGGGACGGCGCACTAGGAGTCTGGGCGGGAACGCCGCGCCGAGCGGTTGGGTTCGACGGTTCGTCCGTTGGCGTTGGCGCGCTGCTCTTTGTTGTGCCGCCGCCGCCGCCGCCGTGTGGAGCCCGCCGGGAGTGTCAAGTGTAGTGACAGTGCCGTTTGACCGCGTGTGTTTGTGTGTTTGTGCATCGGTGAGGCCTCCGGCCGACTTTACGACCGCTCTTGTTAAAACAGCCGCTCATGTTGGCGCCTCTGGCTGCGCGGTCCGCGGTGGGGAGCGCCTTTTATTCGAACATCGAAGCCGCTTTCCAAGTGCCGCGTCTCTGCGCATCGCGGGCCCGGCCGTAGGGCGGAGGCTGCGCGGAACAACACTTCAAGCCATATCAGCGTGTGCGTGTTTTTGTGACGGCCAAGGATCGTCGTCGGCGGCGTTTTCTCGCCTTATCTGTGCAAGGGGCAGTGAGGGCAGAGCACCGTGAAAACGCCCGCCAAATTTGGCGTGCCCTCGTTTTCGTCCTCCTCTTCGTCTGGGCCGGTGGGTAGAGGACGCGTGGATTTGGAATTCCGGGGTCGTTTTCGTCGCTCTGTCTCTGTCGCACTCATGGGGCGTCCAGTGTAGGTGCGAGAGAGACACAGCGTCGAAAACGACTCTCGGAATCAGTGCGAGAGTCGTTTTCGTCGCTCTGTCTCTGTCGCACTCATGGGGCTTTCCAGTGTAGGTGCGAGAGAGACACAGCGTCGAAAACGACTCTCGGAATCAGTGCGAGAGTCGTTTTCGTCGCTCTGTCTCTGTCGCACTCATGGGGCGTCCAGTGTAGGTGCGAGAGACACAGCGTCGAAAACGACTCTCGGAATCAGTCCGCAGTGTTTGAATCAAGTCAGATATTGCCTTGTTTCGTCTTGTCGTGGGTCAAGTCATTTCGCGCCTTTGTCACCGCCTGACCCGACGTGGTTCCGCCAGCTGCCGCAAGAGTGCGCTGCGCGCGTTGCGCTGCCGTCCGTTCGCGGGGCCAGTCCCGGTCGCCAGTTAGGCTAGTTCGGAAGCAGGCCCGCGCTTGACTCTGTGAGGGATAAGTTCGCTTGTCGGTCTTGGACCTTCATTGTCTTTGAAGGTTGCCACGCTGCGTCCGGAAAATTATTCGTCGGCCGACGGGGATCGAGCCACTAGTCGGTAGGGCGGAGTGACGCACCGCAGTGCGTTCTGCCCCGCCGTTTCTCGTAATTGTCTCCCTTCCCACACTTGCCACGGAGCGGCACCCCTCGGCTTCCATTCCGGTGCTCCGAGGCGTCGTCGTCGTCGTCAGCGGCGGCGGCGTGCTCTCGGTGCCGGCTGATGACGTCACGCGGTGCATCGCGTCGCGGCCATCAGCAATGCCGTCTGCCTCTCCAACGTGGGGCTTCCCTCGCTGTGTCCTGCTGCGGCTCGCCGTCCTCCCCGAGGAGGCCGAGGAGGCGGTGTAAGATGCCAATGAACCGCCACGCTGAACTGAACCGAACCGAATGCACTTCGGCCCTTCGACGGCCGCGCCGGCCCGCCTCCCTCCGACGCGGGGCTGAGGGCGGCCGTGGAGGGGCGCCACTTCCTCCGAGGGGCGGGGCGGGGCGGGGCCCTCGTGGGGCTGGACGTCTACGCGTGGGGGTGGGGGCGGCCTGCGGGACGTGCGGCAGTAAGACACAAAGTAGCAACAGCGCCTTGCGCTTTGTTTGAACTTTTGCTTTTTCGCGCCAGATCGGTCGCACTGTCCGTCCGCACTTTCCCCGCGTCCGTCCGTCTGCCCAATACCGCCTCAAGGTCAGGGCCGGCCCGTTTTGGCCAAGCCGTCGGACGGCGGGCAGTGGCCTGTCAGTCGGGTCACGCGGCGAAAGTGCGTGTGTCACTTCGAGTTGTCACTCCTAGTTTTGCTAGGCCACTAGGCCGTTGGCATTGCCACCGCGGGTTGTACCGAAATCCACCCCACCACTGTTTGGTCAAACCTGAACAGTAAGGAAATCAACTTCGCAAACTCCACGATCTTGCGGAATCCCTGTTTTCCTACCCTTTTCTCGTTCCTTTGTTTCTGTTTCTGAGGGTGGCTCACTCATCCCTGGTGCACCTTGCCTGGGTCGGCGCTTGCTCTGGCAAGCCTTTTGGGACTGTGGCGACTCCTCTGGTGTAAAGGTCAGGCGTGCCTGGCTCCAGTTGAGCCTCCAAACTTCCAGTGGGC